AAAAACCCACGTTCTACGTGTTCGCCGTGACGTCACACCGAACTACATCACATGACAGTCAGCACTGAATGAATCAGAACTTGGCCTACTCCACTCTGATTGGCTGAGAGCAGAAAAGTTCGACCTAACTTTCTGGCGTCTGATTGGTCCAAATTTAGCATAAGTTCGATGCGATATAAACAGACGATAATTATTATGAATGGTTTTATAAGCACTACTTACTAATAAAAAGAAATAATAATAATAAATAATAATAATAATAATGATAATAAAGTTAATAATAATAAGAATAATAATTTAAATTCGGGTGTGTGACTATGTCTGGTTATAAATAACTACAAATGTCAGCGGACAGTAAAATGCTTATATATATATATATAGAAAGAGAGAGAGAGAGAGAGAGAGAAAGAGAGAGATGTTTATAAGTAAACGAGTCCTATATATTATGCCGTGTTAAATTTTATTTTATTTATTTAATTAAATTTATTTACTTCTGAAATACTGAAATATTGAGAATAGTAATTAATCGTTCGTGTAAATTATTAATATTAACAATGATAATAATAAAAACAACAATAATAATCATTATCATAAGATTGTTGTAGAAAAAACAACAGCATTAATAACAATAATAATAATAGCAACGACAACAAAAACATCATCAATAAACCAGCAACAATATCAGTAGCGAAGACGCCAACAACAACTGCACATTCACGTTCCAATTAACATGCGGCAACAACAACAACAAATTATATATCAGAATGGTAAACAACAACTACAACAAAAGCAACAACAACATCAACAAGAACAGAATGCATATCTACATGATGAACCACAACAACAACCACATCAGCAACAACCACATCAGCCACATCAACAGCAGCAGCAACTACAGCAACCTCAGAACCCACAAGACCTATTCATAATAAGCTCGGACGACATTGAGATCGCGACAGAAACTGAAGTTAACACTACAGATATAAACATCGGCGACCTTAAAACTAGTGGTAGTAGTAGTAGCGGTAGTAGTAGTAGTAGTAGCAGCAGCGATATTAGTGGTAGTAGTAGAGGTAGTGAAAGTTGTGGCAGTTGTGAGAATTTTAGTAATAGTTGTGGTAGTTGTGGTAGTTGTAGTAGTGGTAGTAGTGGTCTGAGAAGTGGTAGTAGTGGTCTGGGAAGTAGTAGTAGTGGTCTGGGAAGTAGTAGTAGTAGTGGTAATAGCAGTCGTGGAAGTAGAGGTAGTAGCGAAAGTAGCAGTTATAGCTACGGTAGTGGTAGCAGTCGTCGCGAAGGCGGTCGCCACAACGGACACTCCACAGCGATATCTTTGAACGGTCTCGCACTGTCGCAAGAAGACGAATTCGCAAACTTTTTTGACAGTTATGGCGACGGTAATGATGATGATGATCATGATGATGATCATGGTGATGATCATGATGATGATAGAAATAGTGCTGGAACGTTAAGCGTGGCCGATGATTATGATAATGATGAAGCTGTCGATGATAGTAATGATACTGTAGACGATGATGATAATGATGTCAGCAAGAATTGCCGACTTGACCTATTTAAGCAGTTTTTAAACTTCGAATCAACGTTATTACCAACATCATGCCTCACTCCGAACGACCAATCACGAACGACTTCTACTGACTTTCCTCATCTCTCATTGGTCGATTCAAAACAGCCCCCGAACTCGAGCGACCAATCAAATATCGACCATTCGAAGGCTACGAACCTACTGGCGAATAATTGCCGCAAATCTGCACGAATCGCGGCGAAAATTAGGCGAAAGTTAACTGACGACGATTTCAGTTGCGGAGATTTTAAAAACTTTCCTGACAACAAAAAATTATCGGAGTCAATTTTTTATAACCGGAGTTATAACAACAACAATAACAACAACAATAACACTAACAACAACAATTATACTAATAACAACAACAACAACAACAATATAGCTAACAACAATAACACTAACAACAACAATTATACTAATAACAACAACAATATAACTAACAACAATAACAGTTATAATAATAATAACAACAATAAGAACAGCACTAGAAAGAGTACTCGAAGAAAGTCATTTAAAAAATACGAAGATGATGATTATGATAATGGGGGTGATTGTGACGATGACGATGAAGATTACTTCCTTAACGGAAGTAGTTACAAGAGAAAAAATTGTAGTAGCGGTGGTGGTAGGAAAGGTAGTAGTAGTAGTGGTGGTAGTAGTGGTAGTGGTGGTGTTGGTGGTGGTAAGAGAGGTAAACTCGGACTGAATAAAAATACTTGTAAAGAGAATGATGATTTTGCTAGCTGGGAGGTTGCTTGGCTGTTGAGTTGTT